AAACAAAAAAAAAACGTTAACATACAACATAGTGCAGGAACGATTTGCACTCGAAAAAAAATTTCCAGGTTACTCTCAGCCTCTGCATTGCTTGGAAAGTTTTGTATGTATTGCTAATTTGTGTGATATCTCAAAAACACCAGAAGACTCTTCTTATCAATAAAGTATTCATTTTGGGCATAAAATATTGATATATACAATGAGAGAAAACAAAATAAGACGCAAGGCTATCATAGGCATAAGATAAACATTTACTAGTTGGTGATATGACCACAAGCGTCGTTGGACACTAAACTACAGGAAGGCTATGATAGGTGAGAGGACGATGAGATGGCGTTAATTTGCCCCATAGGCACACATCCGTAACTCATTTACTCATTATCCTCTCACTAATACGCATATTATACACAATTGAACCCGTCAACTTGTCAAGAAAAGTTAAAAGTTAATCTGGTACGCAGGTAATTAGAATTTCTTAAGCATTTCCTGCTGTTGTTGTTGTTGGGCTAGATACAGATGCATTAGGTCAGTATGGGAATAAAATGTTGGGATTGGGAGGATTGGACGAGGAGGAAAAGGATGAGGTGGACGAGGGAAGACCACTTGACTGTATGGAGGGAAAAGAGCTGCCGCTGCAGCACCATATTGCTTGAAGGCATCCATTCTGGCGCGACTCATAGATGAGGGTCGTCGTCGCAGTTTTCCGGTAGCACCACCGATGAAAACTTCATCCTCACACGAAGCATCCAACATCCAGTAGTTTCCTGTAATTTCGTCAATCAAAACTATGTAGCAGAAATTTTGGAACAATATTTGACGAAGTGGCTTGTTTTTTTTTGCAAGGCGTGATGCAACAAGCGCTAGAAAAGGAAGCTACTTAACCCATTGACGACACATGACAACAGTGGCCAAAGAAACTTTATGAATTCTCAAATCTCACATTCTTTTTTTAGGTCCACAGAGGAGTTTTCCAATGAACAATTTTTTATTCTTTGTCTTAGAAAATCAGTATTATTCGAAAATGTAGTCACCTGTGATGACTCAAATCAGCAGAAAAGGAATTTCTAAAACGGATAGACGCAGATTTATCCGATTATCATTAAGAAAAGCACAGAAAAACTTTTCTGATCAACCTTGCATGTTTTTCTTTGAGATTTTCAAACAAAGTGGGTAGGTTGACTAGGAACCTATGCCATCATCTGCAGGCTTTTTTTTATACTGAAAAACGCGGATGAAATGGCTATCAAAGTCGTCTCTAACATTTCGTGTTCACAATAAGTTGATTACCGTATTCTAACAGTGAAGAATTCAAATCATGAAATGTCACTGCCCTATGCTCACCTTTTCCAGGATCATCGAAGCTCCTTGGCACTTTCACAAAGCACTTATTTAGAGACAGATTGTGACGAATCGAATTCTGCCAGCCTTGTTTATTGTCACGATAGAACGGATAATTCGTCATAATGTAGTCATAGATGCCAGATAGCGTCAACCTAAACAAAAGTAGACTAAGATGCATTCTGTGCAGTCGAAATAGTGTATGTGGAAATTACCTTTTCTCGCTACTGCTTTTGATTGCCATCATTATGAGTGCATTGTAGGAGAAGGGCGGTTTATCGTTTGGATTGGTCTTCTTTTCGTTGTCCTCCGTCGAGCCTTCTGGAGATTTAGAGAAGTCCTGAAGAAATATGTCAAAATTCAAGCAATGCTAAATTTGTAAGTTAAGTGAAATTTTGCTATAAGATTTGACTCACTTTTGTGCTATCTCCACTTTCAGAAGGCCCTTCTTCGATCCCTTCATCAGCATAATCATCCTCAAGGTGATTGGTGGTAGCTTCAGTTGTGG